CTCTTGGACCTTCTTGTAGGTACACTCCGTGGACTTCAAGGCTAGTAGACCCATTAGAAATGTGGATCAGCCCGACCCATCCTCCGTTGGAACTGTTGCATTAACACAAGTAGTATGTTATTCAAATTTCACTTGAAAATTTAATGAGTTTTAATAAATATCACTTCACCCATATTTCTTCTATAAATTTGTATATATTGACTCTGTAACTATAAAAATCATACAAATACATCCTTTGTTGAGGTGGTTTAGAGAGGTAAAAGTGATACATTTTATAAATAAAGAGATTAAAACGTATAGATTAATAAATAATAGAGTAAAATGATATTTATTAATAATTGAGAGATCTTGGTGTCAGGCTCAGCCTAAACGTTAGGCCACCAAAGCCAATGCTTTAAACCACAAATGTTATTAAGGTTCCAAAATTTAAAAAATTATAGTTAAGACCTATATAATTTTATCATTCTTTAATTGAAAAAAAGGCTCCACCCATTAAGAATAAAAGGCCTAAAATTATTATTTCAAATGAGTAATGTTATATAAATATATTTTTTTATTAGTTTCTTTTATTAACGTGAAATAAATCTCTAATATGAGTAATGATATACAAACTAACAAATTTTACAAACGTTTCTTACTCTTTATTGTGACATTTTCTTATAAATTGATGAGAAATTTGATAATGAAACAATAAAACTTTTCAAGAATTTTTAGAATTAATTGAAATATTAAACTATGTAAAAAAAAGTTTAGTCATTTCCAAATGCATGTATTGTTAATAAAATGACATAAAAGTGATTAAGTGGATAAACCATACTATTAATTTTAAAAAATAAATTAACAAAACTTGATATCAAAATTGAATTGGTAATTACATATGTCAAAATCCTAAAAAAAAAAAATTTAAATAATATTTTTATAATAATATTAAAAAAATTATAATAGATCTCATTTTAATTTGTTGCTTTAGGTCTTAATTTGTCTTGAGTCAGTCCTGCTTAGTATAAAAAATTATTTAAAAAAAAAAAAACTCATCACACGGTTTGAGTTTTCTGGATTAAGTTTTTTGAAAATTGACTTTTTTGATTTTTGTGTTTTTTTGTTTTTAGTGAATATTTTTTAAATTTTAAACATTTTTTTTTACTTTTTTAGATGCACCTAATTCAGTAAAAACAAAAAAATACGAAAAATAAGAAAGTAGAATTTTCTGAAAAGTGTTTTGGAAAACTGGAAACCAAGCAAGGTGATAACGTCAGCCTATTTTGAGAAGCAGATTAAAAATTAACTTTTTAATTGTTTAATTTTTTTACAAAAATATATAAAAATCAAAAAACAATAAAATAAAAAAAATTTAAAAATCAACTTTTTAACTTTAAAGAGGCTGTCGTAGGTGCTGTTTGATAAAAGTGAAAACTGAAAATTAAGTATTGAAAATTAAATGTTAAATTTTTTAAATTGAAAAACTGTTTGATAAAAATTTAAGTACTAAATTAAAAATAAATTATTTGATACGTATAAAATTAAATTTGAAAGTTATTATTTTTGAATTATATATTTTAATATTTACATTGTGATGGTTGTAGTGGTGGCAATGGCAGTGGCATAATGCTGGTGGTCGTAGTGGTAATGGTAGTGGCATGGTGGTGGTGGTGATAGTAACGATGGTAGTGATAGTTGTAGAGGGTCAGAAATTAAACTCCAAATTAAGTATGGGCTTAACTGCTGAGGTCGCCCTTTTTGGGCGACTAAGAATGTCTAAAGGAGCATGGACTAAAGCCCAAGGAAAGTAGGCCAACAGTGGGCCGAAGCAGTTTTGACTTGCCAAAGATCCGAACAGACTCCACGAAGGAAAGTGTCTAGGTGAAGTTGCAAAAGCAACACTTGCAGCGGTCAAGTTGCTGAGGCACTTTAACTTAACGCCGCCATTCCTAATATTGTCGGTTCCACCGCCATCTGAAGTTGCTGAGGGAAAGAGCCTTAGCGCTACCATTCCTAATATTGTTGGTTCCGCTGCTATCTAGAGTTGCTGAGAGAAAAAGAAAACCGAAGCAACTAAGTTACAAAGGCAACACTTGTAACGGTCAAGTTGCTGAGGCACTTTAACTCAGCGCCGTCATTCCTAATATTGTCGATTCCACTGCCATCTGAAATTGTTAAGAGAAAGAGAAAACCGAAGCAACTAAGTTGCAGAGGCAACACTTGTAGCGACCAAGTTGTGGAGGCATTGTATCGGCGCCACCATCTCTAATATTGTCGGGACTGCTATCTGAACTTGCCACGGAAAATGACTGTCGCAGCAACTACAACCACCATAAACTAACTTGCGGAAGGACCACCCCGCCAAGGTGGTAGCAACCTTTGGGAGAAGCTTCCCCTCCACAAGTAGAGGCTAATGCTTGGCACTGATAGTAAACCCCAAGGCATTACTAGCCTAAGGCTGATAGTAGGCTCCAAAAGTCTTTTTTAGTTCGGCACTGATAGTAGGCCCTGAAGCTTAGTTAAGAGAAAGAGAAAACCGAAGCAACTAAGTTGTAGAGGCAACACTTGCAGCGACCAAGTTGTGGAGGCATTTTATCGACGCCACCATCTCTAATATTGTCGGGACTGCTATCTGAACTTGCCACGGAAAATGACTGTCGCAGCAACTACAACCACCATAACTAACTTGCGGAATGACCACCCCGCCAAGGTGGTAGCAACCTTTAGGAGAAGCTTCCCCTCCACAAGTAGAGGCTAATGCTTGGCACTGATAGTAAACCCCAAGGCATTACTAGCCTAAGGCTGATAGTAGGCTCCAAAAGTCTTTTTTAGTTCGGCACTGATAGTAGGCCCTGAAGCTTACTAGCTTGGTGCTAATAGTAGGCCCTAAGGCTTACTGGTTGAAGTTGATAGCAAGCCCAGAGATACTTGTATACTGCGGTAACCCCGCGAAGATGGATGTAGGGCAGCCCGACTGCAAGGGACTCCCTTTCCATTTACCTAAGTCATAGACTTGCCTTGGTTGCACAGGCAAGACCAAGGGTGCCCCTTTGGGCTTAGTACTAAGGTATAGCATGGCTGATAGCAGGCTTGGTTGTGGGCTTCGCCTTGGGTAGTTGGGGAGTTTGTGGTTAGGTGGCTAAGGGTGGAGGCTTCGCTGAGGTGAACACGAAAACATGGCTGATATACTGGCTAAATAGAATTGAGAAGGCAAGTGCAGCAGTAAGGTTTACCACTGCAAGTGAACTTGCTGAGATTCAAGCTGAGAAAGAAAGTGTAGCGGCAAGCACTTCCGCCGCAACTACACTTACTGAGGCTCAAAAGGTAGTTGCAGCGCCAAATACTTCCGCTGCAACTACACTTGCTAAGGCTCAAAAAGGTAATTGTAGAGGTAGACATATAGTACATGCAGAGGGACACATGACACCTTTAGCTTGGTAGGTCAAGGCAGAATATTCTATGTGATCCTTAGGGACACTTGTCTTCTCTCTATTTGGCCACTTGGTGTTCTCTTGGTACCAAGAAAAAGCCTATAAATAGGACCCAATTTCCCAAGGTCCAAAGGAGAATTATTGGGGATTTAGGAGAGATGCTACCCATTTGTGCACTGCCATACATTTCTTTTTGATCTACTTGCTTCACCCTCACCTAACTACTCATTCTCCAGTCATCCTACTATTGTTGGACCATTAGCATAGTTTTGCCTCTTTAATCACTACTCATATCGAACCCTTTCCTACAGTAGTAAATGATGGTGTTGTTATAATGCCAATAATAGTAGTGGTGCTAGCGGTAGTGATGGTGGTGCTAGTAGTAGCAGTGGTGGTGATGTAACAATAGTGATGGTGGTGGTGGCGGCGTTGGTGGGGCCACTTGGTGTTCTCTTGGTACCAAGAAAAAGCCTATAAATAGGACCCAATTTCCCAAGGTCCAAAGGAGAATTATTGGGGATTTAGGAGAGATGCTACCCATTTGTGCACTGCCATACATTTCTTTTTGATCTTACTTGCTTCACCCTCACCTAACTACTCATTCTCCAGTCATCCTACTATTGTTGGACCATTAGCATAGTTTTGCTTCTCTAATCACTACTCACATCGAACCCTTTCCTACAGTAGTAAATGATGGTGTTGTTATAATGCCAATAATAGTAGTGGTGCTAGCGGTAGTGATGGTGGTGCTAGTAGTAGCAGTGGTGGTGATGTAACAATAGTGATGGTGGTGGTGGCGGCGTTGGTGGGGGTAGTAATAGTGGCGGTGGCATAATGATGGTGGTGGTTGTAAGAATGGTGGTAGTGGTGGCCATGACATGGTGGTAATGGTGGTGGTAATAGTAACAGTAACAATAACATTGACATGATGGTCGTGGTTATAGTGATGGTGGTAGTTGTAGTAGGACTAGTGACGGTGACATGATGGTAGTTGTTACGGTGGTGGTGAGTTTATAATAATATTTATTGATATTATGTTTAATATTTATAAATTCAGTCATAATTAAGTAAGTTTTATATGACTTAAATTTTTTTAAAATTTTAATTTATATTTTAAAAAATAATTAAATTTTAAATAATATTAATAATAATTATTAAATCAATTTATTTAATTATCAATTAATCAATTTAATTTTAAAAGGTAAATCATGTTATCAAATGGGAATAGCTTTCTTCCAGTCCAATCACAGATTGGAGGGTACTGTTGGATCTGTGGGGACTTACTACAGGTTCCGTTTTGATAATTCAAACCGTTCAATGTATATAACTCGTCGAGTATTATATATCTATAAAAAATTACGTTGATCAGATATCGATAGCTATGTGATCAAATTCGTTTTGTATGAAAAAAATGAACGGTGAAAATAAACGGCTTACAAAAATCTGATTTGATCACATAACTATCGATATCCGATCAACGTAATATTTTATAGACATATAATACTTAACAAGTTTTACATATTTAACGATTCAAATTATCAAAATAGAATCCATAATAAATTCCACAAATCCAATAATGCCCTCAGTCCGGATCGAACTGGAGGAAGCTATTCCCTTATCAAGTATCCCGTAGCCACAACTTTGGAGGGAGAGAGCGTGACGAAAACTTTTTTTGTGCTATGCTCCTTCCCATATAATTATTCCCCCCAGGTGTGTGTTGGTTACAACAAATCCATTTCACTTCCACTTCCATTTCCATTTCCATTTCCATTAATATCTCTCTCTCTCTCTCTCTCTCTCTCACACACACACACACACACACACACACACAGAGAAACCAGAGAACAACAACAATGGAGAAGCGAATGTGGTTCCTCATCATCGGCGTACTCGTAACGTGTCTCTGTATCCAAGTGAGATCAGACGCCTCCGATCATCGCTATCAATCCTCCGACCCCGTCCCTCTCTACTCTAACAAGGTCGGTCCCTTTCACAATCCCAGGTACATTCTCTCTCTCTCTCTCTCTCTCTCTCTCTCTATACACACACACACACACATATATCTGTATCACTCTCTCCTTTTTTGATCGCTGATTGATTGATCTCTTAGATCTGTTTATGCAAATGGATTGTAATTCAAACACATGTATATGAATGCTTGAAATGTGCAATGCGAGCTATTTAGTTACCCTTTTATATCTGACTTTGCTGACATTTTACGTGACATTTCCTAATTTTTATTTTTATTTTTTGTTGTTGTGTTTATTGTTTGGTTACAGTGAAACATACCGATATTTCGACCTTCCCTTCTGTTTTCCAGGTGTTGTTCTTCTCTTGTAATTTTGTAATTTTTTTTTACAATCTATCCAAAACAAAATAATGTACTTGTGAAATTTTCTGTGTTTTTGCGATTTACATTGAAATTTTCTTACAGGCTATCAAAAAATAAAATAAAATTATGTACTTGTGAAATTTTCTTTATACATAAATGTGATGGGCACTTGAATATATAAATGCATTTCTTACCTGAAGCAATTGGAGAAGACGTGAAGCTTCCGAAAAGGCTTCAAAATAAAAATGTCAGTTAATGATATGGTTCTGAAATTTTTTGAGTAATTTACACTCCCTTTAGTTTAGGCAAAGTGTCCATAGTTTCAATTTGAATAACTTGACACTTACACTTTCAATTTTGGTGCAATGTGGTCTCTTCGTTATTTACGGTTAGAATTTGGAATGGAATATGATCACTTGCAAAATTAGAGGGACCAAAGTGGATTAGTTTGTTTTAAATTCAACTTTGCTCTCTCTAGTTTTGCATGTGATTTTTTTCTGTTCAAAATGTTAACAATGAATAATCGGGGGACCACATTTAAATTGAAACTACGGAGACTAAAGTGGCACTTCGCCTAAATTATAGGGACTAATGATGTAATTTACCCAAAAATTTTACGTGTCAACAAGTAGCTTTGGGTAAAAAGCATTTTGGTCTTGTTTTTTAGAATCTTTTTTTCTAAATTTTCTTTTGACAAAATAAAACACTATAAAGATATTATCGAATTAAAAAAAAAATATATATATATTCCTTCCCCAAAAGATAAAATCATATGAAAATGATTCCTTCCCAAAAATTATTTCTAGTGTAATCGTGTTTTTATTTTTATTTTTTCAATTTCTTTTACCAAACTAGTTTTTATTATTTTTGAAATTTTTTCAGAAAGTATATTCTGAAATTGAAACAAAATAGAAACTTTTGGAAGAATTTATATAGGAGTGTTTTCCATCAAATACATATTAAAATTTTCCTCTAAAATTTCAAAAACAATATGATGTTGAAGTGGAGCTATAGTTTCTTTATTTGTTTATTAAGTATGTGCTTGATTGCAATGGCAGATCATATGAAAGAGAAGAAGGAAGCCTTGGGTGAGGTGTTGAATGGGGATCGTCTTGTCAGTGCACCTTATACACTTGACTTCTTAGTTGATAAAGATTCTGAAGTTGTTTGCAGAAAGAGGCTGACAAAGGAAGAAGTTGCTCAGTTCCGAACTGCAGTCTTGAAAGACTATTACTTCCAGATGTACTATGATGACTTGCCCATTTGGGGTTTCATGGGAAAGGTTGACAGGGAAGGCAGATCTGACCCAAATGATTACAAATACTTCCTTTTCAAGCATATCCATTTTGATATACTGTACAATAAGGACCGTGTGATTGAGGTCAGTGCTCGAATGGATCCTCATTCTGTTGTTGACCTGACAGAGGACAAGGAAGTTGATGTCGAGTTCACTTATACAGTGAAATGGAAGGAAACAAACATTCCGTTCGAGAATAGGATGGAAAAATTCTCTCAGACTTCTTCTTTACCGCATCACTTAGAGATTCATTGGTTTTCAATTGTAAACTCATGCGTCACAGTTCTCCTCTTAACTGGTTTTCTTGCAACGATTCTCATGCGGGTCCTCAAGAATGATTTTATCAGGTGAGTAATAATTATGCTTCTGTGATTCAACAATTATGATTGGTGTTTCAATAAATTTGCATTGTATACTTCTTTATTGTATATTCTATCCATTGAATTCGTTGAAAGGTATGCACATGATGAGGAGTCAGCTGATGACCAAGAGGAGACAGGATGGAAGTATATTCATGGTGATGTATTTCGATTCCCGAAACATAAATCTTTATTTGCTGCAGCCCTAGGTTCTGGCACCCAGCTGTTTACTCTGTAAGTACTTCTGCAAGCTCATTGTGGTCCAGCATAGTAATGTTTAATTTATCAAATCTTTTAATCAACTTGTTTTGACTTATTTAAATATTTCTTTACGTTCGTCTGCAGTACAGTATTTATTTTTCTGCTTGCATTGGTGGGTGTATTTTATCCATACAACCGAGGAGCTCTATTTACTGCACTGGTGGTCATATATGCACTCACTTCAGGAATTGCAGGTTATGTAGCAACCTCTTTCTATTGTCAGCTTGAAGGGACCAACTGGGTAAGTGCTGGTGGATCTCATATGCTGCATTTTGGCTTAAAATTTAATGCTTTGCAAAGTGAAACCTGGTGGATTAATCAGAATTGTAATTTGCATTGACAGGTGAGAAATTTGTTGCTGACGGGATCCCTTTTCTGTGGGCCTCTGTTTCTCACATTCTGCTTCCTTAACACTGTTGCTATTGTATACAGTTCTACTGCAGCACTGCCTTTTGGGACGATTGTGGTAATAGTTCTGATATGGATGTTAGTGACATCGCCCTTGCTTGTGTTGGGTGGGATTGCTGGGAAAAATAGCAAAACTGATTTCCAAGCTCCATGCCGCACCACAAAGTATCCTAGAGAAATTCCACAGTTGCCGTGGTACAGGAGTACTGTTCCTCAGATGGCCATGGCAGGGTTTTTGCCTTTCAGTGCTATCTACATTGAACTTTACTACATATTTGCTAGTGTGTGGGGTCACAGAATTTACACAATATACAGCATCCTGTTTATTGTCTTCATTATCCTTTTGATCGTAACTGCTTTCATTACTGTGGCATTGATATACTTTCAGCTTGCTGCTGAAGATCATGAATGGTGGTGGAGGTACACAAGTGTTGTAATATATATTTCAGCTTATTCGTCTTCATTTTCTGCATATGATACTGCTTTGCCTGCTATGTTATTATGCTTTTTTGTCTTCCCAAGTCCTTGCCTCTTATGGATGACTCATTTTTTAACTACTAATTGAATAGTTTTTGATTGTACAAATTGGTCAATGGTTACCTATAAAGCATGGGTACTTCAAAAAATATGCCATATCCGTACTGGTATTTGTGAGAATATATTGTGAATCTTACAAATTAACTTAGAGTCCTATTAGAGGCATTATTGTATTAGAGTCATGATCGTATTGTATTTGTATTTCCTTTTTGGTTTAGGAGTTAGGGCTATATATATTCTAAGGTTTGATTGTAATCGATACACATTGAATATATGAGATACAGAAAGCTATTTAGAAATTTTACATGGTATCAGAGCCATGTTCGAAACCCTAAGTCTGGCTGGCGTCCACGTCTGTTGTTTGAAGTTGTCGCCTATTGTTCGAAGTCATCTCTGTTCTTTGATCTTCTTCATAGTCGCGACTTAGGGTTCGTGGGTCTCTCTGGTTAGTGGGTCACGATCATCTTCAGTCATCATCAGCAACTCGCAATCAGCTTCAGCCCCCTGCTTCGTTGCAACTCAGTTCTAGTACTTGTGGTTCGCGAACTCAGTCCCTCTGGTTCGCAAACGTCATCGCCGTGCTTCTGATTCAGGTCGCGATCGTCTTCCGTGGTCGTCTACAGCCATCACGACTCTGTCTTGTCTTTTGAAGCTTCTTTGGTTCGCAATCAGTCCTGGCTGTGATACATATAACTGATTTGTTGGTATTTACACTTTGAACCCAAAATTTCATTGACTATTACACTTGGATTGGCTCTCTCCCCTGTGTATTCGAAGTACTGAGATAGTGGTATATTTCTCATTATTATAATTTTACCCCAAAATTCTGTAACTTTGGTTCACTTTGATGTCGGATACCCATAAGCTTCAATCTTTTACAAATCCCAAGAAAGGACCACTGGCTCCAGATGAGTGTGCCTTCGGCCATCAGAGGGGTCATTGGAAGTAATCATTGTCCCAAGAAGGGATGTTTGTCTGCTTTGTCTGTGTTTGCCTCGTCTTCTCAGCAATTGCCGATTAAGTTTTGCGCTCCTCCTTTGAGTACCATTCGGCCTCTCACTGATTCTACTGCATCTACTCCGGCTCTTGATCCTGACTTTGCTTCCTTGACTGCTCAGATTAGTCAGTTTCAACATACATTGTGTACCTCCCAGCCATCTCTGTCTGCCTTCATTGTTTCCTCTCTTCATTCAGGTTTGCTTGGGTCTTCTATTGGTATTTCTTCGTTTGTCTGACTTTTTGACTTTGGTGTCTCTCATCATATGACTCTCCATCTCTCTTTACTTCAAAATTGCACTCCTCCTCCCTTTCTTATTACTGTCAATGCTGCTAATGGGTCTGGTATATCTGTTGGGTCTGTCTTACTGTCTACTATGTCTGCTGTCTCTATTCCATCTGTTCTTTATGTTCCTCAGTTATTTGTTAATTTATTATCTATCAGCCAGCTTGACGTCTCTGGTTTTGATGTTATCTTTTCCTCTTCTATCTGTTCTGTGCAGGATCGGATGTCTAAGCAGCAGATTGGGACTAGTCGTAGAATTGGGGACCTCTATGTGGTAGAGAGCTTGCATCTGCCTTTGACAACCTCTCCGACTGCCTTTTCCTCTTTTCAGTTAGATTCTCTGTCCAGTCCTTTCTACTTGTGGCATTCTAGATTAGGGTATTTGTTTGCAGACCGCTTACGGTCTTTGGCTCAATCAGGTATCTTAGGCTTAGTTGCACGAAGCGGGGGCGGGAGCGGGAGCGGAGAAGCGTGAGTCAATAGAAGTTTCTTAGGTTGGGAGCGCCTCGGGGAGCAGTAATATATAAATATATATATATGTTTTAATACACATTAAAAGTTTTTTTTATAAATATTTTTTTGGCAAATTACAAACACCCCCTCGAGGTATGGTGAAAATACAAATTCCCCCATGAGGTTTGAGAAATTACAAATTACCCCCTGGAGGTCAAATTTGCATAACAAATTAGGGGGGAATCTGTATGAAAATAAAAACCTCAGGGGGTAATTTGTTATGGAAATATAAACCTCAGGGATTAGATATATATTTTATATAATAAATTAGATATATATATTTTATATATAACCAATTATATTGTTATAGGTTGAAAACGGGAGGGACAGAGACGCACGACAAGAGAGAGAGAGAGAGAGAGAGAGGGGAAGGCAGATCGAAGGCGAGGACATGGCGACGCAGATCGAAGGCAGATCGGAGGAGCTAACGAGTCTCTACGGCAGATCGGAAGGCAGATCGAAGGCGAGAGACTGAGATCGAAGGCAGATCGAGCAGATCGAAGGCAGACGCACCAGGTTTCTCTCTCTCTCTCTCTCTCTCTCCCCTTTACGATCCCATCTTCATTTGAATCGCGTTTCTCTCTCCACAGAAACGCGATTCTTACGTGTTTCTTTCTAGGAAGCGCGGAATCGTGATTCTGAGTAAGAATCGCGGCCTGTTTGCACGAATCCTGTAACTAAGATCTTAGGTAAAGTTTTTCCTAGTGAATTTTCTGAATGTCAAAGGTGTAAATTCACCAAGATGACAGCCTTACATTTTCATAAAAGCACTTCTATCTCTAATACACCATTTTTTTTAGTTCATACTGATGTTTGGGGCCCTTCTCCTGTTCTCACCAAAGGGGGTTCTGCATACTATGTGTCATTTGTTGATGACTGCACCCGTTACACTTGGGTTTATCTTATGACTCATAAGTCCGATTTCTATCAGATATACCGTATCTTTCAGTCTATGATTACTACACAGTTTGGGTCCATTAAAGTGTTACGGTCTGACTTGGGTGGAGAATGTTTTAAAACTGAGTTTTGTGAGTATTTGGCCAATTTGGGTACCATTCACCAAACTTTCTGTATAGATACACCTGCCCAAAATAGTCGCGCCGAGCGTAAACATCGTCGTCTCCTTGAGACAGCTAGGTCTCTTCGTCTCTCTGCCTCAGTTCTAGCTCCATTCTGGGGGGAGGCAGTTCTTATTGCTACTTTTCTTCTCAACTGCATGCCTACTCCCATTCTTTTTGGTCGGTCTCCTTATGAGGCTTTGTTCTCCCAACTTCTTAACTACTCCCTCCTTCGTGTGTTTGGGTCTGCTTGTTTTGTCCTTCTTCACACAAAGATAGGATCAAATTTAGTGCCCAGTCTGTCCTCTGTGTCTTTTTGGATTATAGTCCTACTTAGAAAGGCTATCGGTGTTACAACTCTGTTTCCCATCGTTTTTATGTCTCCTGTCATGTTTTTTTCTCGAACATCTGCCTTACTTTCAGCTTCCTCCTGTCACTGCTCCAGTTTCCAAAGAAGATTTGGTTCACATTGACCCATTTCCTTTTGAGGTACCGTCTAATGAGTACATCTCCACTGTTCCTCCTGAGCTTGTTTCATCTTCTTCTCCTGCTTCACCTCTAGCTGCTTTTCCTCCTTCCGTTTCTTCTCCTCCTCCATTGTTAGTTTGTTCTCGTCGCAAGGCTCCTCCTCCACCGGTTGTCTCTACCCCTACTGTTGATCCTCCTGCTTCTGCTGACTCTGATCCTGCTGCACACTGATATCCTACTCGAGCGCGTCATCCTCCAAACAGGTTAGGTTGGTCTAATACATGTTTTTTTGCTTCCTATCGTACTTTTTTGTCTGCTATTCACTCTTTTTCAGAACCTTAGTCTTACAAAGAGGCATGTTAGGATCCTCATTGGGTTCACTCTATAGAGGATGAGTTGTCTGCTCTACAGAAAATTAGTATTTGGGAGTTGGTTCCTTTACCTGCTGGTAAGAACTTGGTTGGTTGCAAATGGGTCTACAAAGTTAAGACTCATTTTGATGGGTCTCTTGAGCACTACAAAGCTCGTCTGGTTGCCAAAGGTTTCTCTCAGGAGTAAGGCATTGATTATGAGGAGACATTTGCTCCTGTTGCCAAGATGATTACTGTTCGTATTTTAATCTCTGTCGTTGCTATTCGTTCTTGGCCTCTTTATTAGATGGATGTTAAGAATGCCTTTCTTAATGGCCATCTCATTGACGATGTTTACATGCGTCCTTCTCCTGGTCTTCCCCATTCCTCTGGCCAAGTTTGTTGTCTTCAGCGTGCTCTGTATGGTCTGAAACAGTCTCCTCTTGCTTGGTATGATCGCTTTCAGACTGCTATTGCCGAGCTTGAGTTTCATTCTTCTGCTTCCGACTCTGCTTTATTTCTGATACATACATCGGCTGCTTTTGTTGCTCTCTTACTCTATGTGGATGACATGATCATCACTGGCTCTGACTCTTCTGCTATCTCTGAGGTCCAGCAGCATCTCTTCTGCACCTTTGAAATGAAAGATCTGGGTCTATTACGGGATTTTTTTGGTATTGAGGTTGTTTCTTTTCCAAAGGGCTACTTTCTGTCTCAGGCTAAGTATGCTAATGAAGTCATTCATCGTGCTGGTCTTACCGATACTAAGGTTTCTGATACACCTATTGAGCTTAATGTGAAGCTTAATTCTACTGATGATGTCCCTTTGGATGATCCTACTTTATATCACAAGCTTGTGGGTTGTTTAGTTTATCTGACTGTCACTCGTCCTAATCTTGTTTATGCTGTTCATGTGGTTAGTTTGTTTTTGCTCCTCGCTCTACCCATTGGGTTGCTTTGGTTCGCATTCTTCGCTATCTCAGGGTTACCATATTTCAAGGCTTACTATTGTCCTCTACTTCCTCTTTGGACTTGGTGGCCTATGCTGACTCTGATTGAGCTGGTGATGTTACTGATCGCAAGTCAACGTCTAGTTTTTGTATGTTTCTTGGTGATTCCTTGATCTCTTGGAAAAGTAAGAAACAATCAGTCGTTGCTCGTTCTACTGCCGAAGCTGAGTATCGTGCTATGGCTCATGCCACTGTTGAGATT